GCCCGAAGTAGGAGGTGACGACCTCATGATGCAGTGTGGCGGTAGCATTTCCAGTCTAAGTTAACTGAGGGTGTTACACCATTGCCTTTTTATCCTTTCTTTTAGTTGTTGCACATTCTGATCGAATGTGCCCACATCCATTGCAGCTGTAAAAAATTATGTCATCAGGTACTGTGGGTTTCTTGGTCACTTTGAATTTCTTTGAACTATTCCCTTTTTGAGTATTCTGATCTGGACCGTTATTGACTGATTTTGCGTAATTCACTCCACCAGCCTGTCATCCAGTTTCACGAAGTTGTTGAGCTTTTCTATCTTGAAGCATCTTAGACAGCTTCTTTGAGATAAGAGCAAGTTCATTATCCTCCTTCTCAGTAGTTACGTCTTCTGTCAACAATGCTATATGCCGTCTAGGGTTCTGCCTGGTATAATTCATCTTATAGGTCTGCAAGGTTCTAATAAGAGCATTTAGTGACATTGTTTCGGTTTTCTCCATATCTTCAAGAGTGGACACTTTGTTGTAGAACTTCTCTGACACAGTACGCATCATTTTAAATACCAATTTTCTTTCTTCATATGCTAACCCCAAGCTGTGAGAACGACTTACAACACTCTTGAACTTGTTGTTGTACTCAAATACGGTTTCCTCATCTTTTATCAGTTGGTTATCAAACTCTCTCTCGATCATCTGCAACTTAGATCGCTTAACCTTATCATCTCCTTCAAATGCTTCACGCAGCGCGTCTCAAGCCTCTTTGGCTGTATCACACATTGATATGATCTGATAGAATGATTGATCAACACCATTTGCAATAGCATTTACAACCCTGGAATTTGCATTGCAAAGAACTCTCTTTTGGTGGTATTGTGTTCGTTGTTTCTCAATAACAACGGTAGGGATTTGATTTCCTTTGACTCCTCCCTCAATCATAACAGTCATTTGTGGGGGAGTCCACCCAGTCAGAACAGAATCCTATGTATCTTCTCCAAGAGTCATAATGAAGAATTTCATTTTCATTTTCCATTGTTGATAATTCTTTCCATCCAACAGAGGTGGTCTTGTTATCGAGTTGCCTTCCTTTCCTGCCATGGATATTGATCTCTTCTCAATGCGACGAGAAGCCGGCTCTGATACCAATTGTTAACCCAGAAATCCTTAAACGCACAACAATAATCACGTAGCAACGAAATTATGAGTAAACAGATTTCAACACAGATGTAGTATACTGTGAAATCAAACAACACACGCACTCTTTTGTAGGCAGTAATGAAATTACACCAAAAAATGTTAACCCAGTTCGGTCTCACAAGACCTACGTCTGGGGGGTTCCAACCCAGACCATTTCACTCTTTTTCATCAATAGATTAGAGTTACATTCGAGTTGTATCATATCACCCTATTGACACACACTGACTATACTCTATCCATCAAAGAACAACAATATTTTCTCACACAATTCACCATACATTTTTCTTCATCATATACAATATATATATCACTGTATCTAATTCCCAACAGAATAAGAATCTTTCAGTGTATCTAATTTCCACCATGCAGACTCCACCCCCAATCTGTTACAACAACCAGCACACCCAAAAGAACATTCAAGAGGCCACCACAACAACCTCATTGGGTTTGATTTTCCTTAGACAAACCTCTTGGGTCAACTTACATGGAAAATGGGCTTGTAAACATCAAGCAAAACTTGAGAAATGAGCCCAATCTTGTGTCAACAGATACAACAACAATAATAATAATGCAAACCCAAAGCAGTTAATGAACCTAAGTGGTGGCCTTCCAACAATCTAAGTTTCATGCAGGCAGGGAAAGATGAGATGCAAGAAACTGAAAATATATTGGTGTCTAATCAATGGTGATTATGATGCTGGCTCTGGTTCGGATTTGCTTGACAGTAATGGTGATGGTGATGGTGATGACACACTAGCGATGAAGGAGATGAGGAAAACCACAGATAGGTCCAAATCCAATTCTGAAAACACCTACCTCTTCTCTCTTTGCATTTTTTTTTTCCATCATATGTATTATGTATATGTGTCTGGACTAGATGTTTTTAGCAAACATACATCTTTAAATTAACATCTCCTATGCAAATTCTTATTGATGTATTATTCCAAACCCTGGAACCTAATTAAAACAGTACAGGTTACTCAAAATTTGAATTATTTGTTACAATATTTGTGTGTAGGGTTGACAGAGGCGTGCTTTCCTATTCTCCTACGCATCCAACAATGCCTCTTCTTTGTATCCGAATCAAACAATGACTCTTCTTTGTGGCATGCTCGTTTGGGTCATGTACATTACAAACGGATGCGAGATATGTCAAAATCAGAATTAATCCCTGCATTTGACATGAATAATTACAAATGTAAAACCTGCATGTTAACTAAAATAACGAGGAAACCTTTTAAAGGTGTAACTAGAAAATCGGAATTTCTTGAACTTATTCACAGCGACCTGTGCGATTTTCATTATGCGCCCTCGTTAGGGAATAAGAAGTATGACGTGACATTTATTGACGACGCCACTAGGTTCTACTATGTTTAGTTGCTGCATTCAAAAAGTGAGGCCTTGGATAAATTTAAACTTTTTAAGGCTGAAGTTGAGCTTCAACTTGGAGTTAAGATTAAAATTTTACGTACGGAGAGTTCTATGATCCGCTCTATTTTCAATCTGTAGGAATCATCCATGAGACAACAACTTCATATACACCGAAACAAAATGGTGTTTCTGAAAGAAAAAAGCGTACGTTGAAGGAAATGGTGAACTCAATGATGTCTTACGTTGGATTGAGTGAAGGATTTTGGGGCGAAGCTATGTTGACAGTTTGTTATCTCCCTAATCGGGTTCCCAACAAACGAAACAAACTCACCCCCTATGAACTTTGGTTCAAAAAATGTCCATATTTGTCATATTTGCCTGTTTGGGGCTGTAGGGCGATTGTGAAAGTTCCGAAGCCTAAAATAAAAACATTGGGAGAAAAGGGAATCAAATACATATGCATTGGTTATACTGAACATTCTAAAAAATATAGGTTCTATGTTATGGAACCCAATGATTTTTTATTAGTTCATGCTGTTATAGAATCTCGAGATTCAATATTCGATGAGCATCGATTTACCTCAATTCATGGATCATCAAGTAATGTGAAATCCATTAAGTATGACGAGCGCAAGGACAATTTTTGTCAACCAAAGGATATCACATTAGATGAAAGTAATATTCTGAATTCTGAAAATGAATTTGAGAAAGATATGAGGGAACAAATTATCGAACCTCGTAGAAGTAAAATAGCTAGGAAGCCAAAGTCGTTTGGTCCTAATTTTCAGATTTATTTAGTTGAAAGTGCAGGAAAAAATTGATACATTGTATTATTTTTGTTACAATGTTGAGGAAGATCCTAAGACATTTAGTGAAGCTATGAAGTCTAGGGATGCTGCCTTTTGGAAGGAGGCAATAAACGACGAAATGGATTCTATCATGAAGAATGGCAATTAGGTGCTTTCGGCTTCAGGTTGTAAACCTTTAGGTTGTAGATGGATCTTTAAAAGAAAGCTAAAATCTAATGGCACCATTGATAAACTTAAGGCTCAAAAAGAATGTATCAATGATTTTGATATCTATGCACCGGTTGCAAGGATTGCTACAATCAGATTTTTAATTGCATTGGCTGCCATAAAAAATCTGTTAATTCACCAAATGGATGCAAAGATGGCGTTTCTCAATGGAGACTTGGGTGAGGAAGTTTACACGAAGCACCCGGAGGGATTCATCGAGTCGGGAAACGAAAATAAGGTATGTAAACTCATTAAGTCTTTATATGGTTTGAAACATACTCCAAAACAATGGCATCAAAAGTTTGATGAAATTGTGTTGTCCAATGGTTTTGTTTTAAATCAATCGGACAAGTGTGTTTACAATGGGTTTAATAATGCCGGCGAAGGTGTTATAATATATTTGTATGTGGATGACTTGCTGATCTTTGGGACAACAAATTTTAGTTTGCATGCTATACTACAAAGCGTGAAAATTTATCTAAGTGCAAAAATTATATGAGATGGATGGCGTGCACGCGACTTTCTCACAAGTGTTTCCAGCCACCCGCTTCTAGTATTCAGAGCTCCTTACAACTTGAGCTCTTCTCCAAATAAATGCAAATTTCAGATTATGAAATTTCATAAATGAGATCTGAGTTGGTTCCTATTTATAGGCGTTGGCCAAGATATTTAACAAAAATTTATAAATCGATGTAAAACATAAAAATTTACAATTGTTCAGCTCTAATATTTGTACCCTTTTAAAAGTTCTAAAGCTCAATAGTCGTTTTTAAACACCTCACCTACCAACATATCACAATTGTTTCTTCAAAATATACTTATGCAGACATAAGCCACAAGTAATTTCCTCTAATTAATAATTAATATGAAAACACAACCTTTTTTTTAAAAAAAAAAATGCATACAACCCTTTTAGTGGATACTTTCTCTTGTAACAATTCACAACACTGCTTTCAAGAATATTATTCATATGAAACATTGATCTTTTGTGCGTGGAAGTCACTAAATGATACATTTTACAAAGGCTAATATGATCGTTAGTAATTATAAACCAAAAATTGTCAAACTAAGAACATTTCAGCATGTTAGATACTATCAATATTCAAATAAAATTCAAACTTTTTTATAACTACACTTTAAAACTATAATATTTGCCACTGACAAAATATTTTATTTAATTGTATTTGCTTCATTCTCTTCAGTTGCATCGTATTTCCAATTGCTACCAGAAATTAACTTTTTAGGAACAATCTCATTTATTTTCCATTGACAACATACTTTAAAAAAATTAGTGTTGTTTATCAACTACAACCCATGAAAAGACATGGAGAATATTTTTTAGACTTTTCCAATGCAGCGAAAATTTAAATTGCTACAAATTAGAGATACATGAGATATGTACACAACATTATATGATACGAAAAGAGTTAAAAATGTATTTTTCCAATAATGTTACAACAAGTTGATTATGGAAGTATTACAATATATAAATAGACACTGCATGAAGATGAAGTAGACATGAGAGTTAACAACTTGAGTGAGCAAATTGTAACGATGCCTATGCTTCAAATTTTTAACTCAACCCATATCCATCTAAGGAGTTGTCTTTCGTTACGTGAAAATTTCATTGGCACTTACTTTTTCATGCACTTTCGATTGATATCTTGTAATACTTCCATTATCAACCTATTGAAGTATTATTTGAAATGATTTATTAAGTTTTGCATATTATATGTTGTTGTATACATACGTCATACATCTCTAATGTGTCGCAATTTAAGCTATCGTTGAATTGTAAAAGTCTAAAAATATTCACCATGTCTTTCAATAGCCGTTGACAATAAACGACATGCATTTCTTCGAAGCATGATGTCAATGGAAAGGAAATCAGATTGTTCCTAAAAATAAATTTCATTAGCAGTTACAAAAATTTATTGCAACGGAAAAGCATGAAACAAATACAGTTAAATAAGACATATGTTGGCAATCTATAGTTAGAGTTGGAAAATGTATAACTCTTGTTTTAATTTACTTTGAAAACTGTCAATTTCTAACAAGTTAAAATGTTCTAAGTAAGAGCAATAATTGACGTCATAAATATTACAAGTAAAATCAGCATCTTTAGAATGTATACAATTACTAATTTCCACAGAGACGCATTGACATACATAAAGTAATGGTGTTTCTAATTGATAAGAGAGGATCCCAAAATAGGGTTGTGTGTAGTAAAAAATGAAGAGATTTTTGCTTTCAACTTATCCAACTTCATGGTAGAAATAAGCATTAGTAGATGTAGTTATTTTAGAGTTATTGAAAAAACAGTCGTGAAATTGGTATATAATATCTGGTGTCTAAGAAATAATAATGAAAAATTATTTATAAAACTATTTTTTTACTTTTACATTATTTATGCAGAGTTTACATACCTCGTGCAATTTATATTTATACTATATTGTAGACATCTAGAAAGCATTCTCCATGTCTTCCAAGCATGTCTTCCAAATTGAGAGATTCCTGAAAATTGAATTTGTATTAAAAGTTAAAAATTTAAAGCACGAGTATTAACATATTCATCAATCAAATTCTCAACAAATATATATTATAACTTAACTTAACTTATTCAAAACATGGAAAATAAAACTAATAAATGTTTAAAAAATTTATATATCTTATGGTTGCAAAACTATAAACAGAAGCATGTGTATAATTGAATATAAAACTCTTGTCCACATATTTTTAATAAACAAAACTTGTTTAAAAAGAGTACAATGGATAATAATTGAGATCATATCTTCAATTATAATTGCAAAGGCAAAACAAAATAAGAAATTAAACATGCCTTCTCACATTTATAAGGGCATTACGAGCAAAAAATCTAATTTTGATTTTTAGTTAATTCTACTGATTATCTATAAAGACAATTGTTTTGTCAGAAACTTCCGATTTCGTTTCTAAAGTTTTGTTCAAATCTTTCATCATAGAAAGTACTTAGTTTGTGGTAAAGAAATCTCATACACTAATAGCGAGAGTTTTTTTTTTTTTAAAAAATAATAATATTGATAAATAGATGAAATACACACAACCAAAAAAGTATCATTGAACGAAACTCACATTAGGTCCTTTGCTTGTTTTGACTCCGATCCATGCGTTGTTCCACTCTTGCCATCTTCTAAATGTCATTGAAATCAACTCTTTGAATCCTTTTAGTGAAAGTGACTTTTCAAATCGCCTCCAAAACATAATAAACATTTGTTCTCATGTCTCTACAGCTTAAGATTTCTCGTCACATATAGCTTGAAGAACAGAATGGTTACCTTTGTTTCTCCAACCTACTTTTGCAAGGTCCGAATCCAAATGTTGCTCTACTTTGTAGTTTTCTTCTCAGCCATAGCTAGAACAAGAAAACATATTCCCTTCTTTTAGATCTACATTTCTACGTTGAATTAGATTGAGGGGCGGCGAAGGTGGTTTATTAAGGGGTGGCAAAGGTGGTTTTTATAGGGGTAGGGTTTCACTACGTTGGGCTTAAATTAATTCCTCGGTATAAGCCCAAAAACGCTAAAATTAATGAAGCAAACATTCACGAAACTTAATTAATTAGTCTATGCAGGCCAAATAAATAGAAATAGTTATTACAATTTAAATAATATATCATATTCTCATTTTACTTAAGACAAAATTAATTGTACTTTTTTAATTTATTTTTCATCCTAGTAACGAATTTGATGATTTTTTTCATTCAAATATTAGAGTCTGATATTTATTCTTTAGTTTAGATAATTATTTTTAAGTTTAAAATTGTAAGTTTGTTTAGATTCGAGATTTTTTTGGAGAAATCATGCACTATAAGTTTATCCCAACAAGAGTACGTAGGAATTCTCATTTGAAAATTTAAAAAAATCAAATAATGATTAAACGTTTAATGTATTCTCAAAGCCTAATAATGGTGAGTGAGAAATAGGTTAGATGATATTATTATGCACGTCACATAATGATATGCCAAACCAAGCTGCGAACTCGGATAGAGCGTCAAACTGAGTCGGTGAACTAATGGGTTAGATAGAAAGGTCTGAAAACTCTATCCACACTGAATTGATAAAGCATATTTTATAATTGATTTCTATATCGTATATTTGATCTCATATCTAGTGAGATATGATTGATATCATATCTCACAAAATATGATATGATTCTTAATATGGTTGTCACCTACATTATTGGTAGTCATATCAAAAGAGAATCCCCAAAAATGAGTTGAGTGTAGAGCCTATAATAGGCATGAACCCTAGACCTATAAGCTTACACATAAAAGCCTACACCATCTTATCCTGAGATTCTCCTCTTCTGCCTCTGGCAACTATCCTACTCTCTTCATGTTTGTCAAGTCTTTTGCTAGTGGTGCTGCTTCGAGAGGATATAAGTCATTTTACCTTTAAGAGTGATACGGATACACTAGAGAGCTACTGGCTGTGTTTTTCTCTGCAGGAAGAGGTCTTCCTCGACTCATCTTGCTTATCGCTTCCTCATTATTGCCCTATATTTTTCAACAATTGTAAAGCGAAATATGAGTGATAATGAATCTTCATATACGCCAATGGCTAACTCTCCTTTACATAAAGCCAATTTCGCTCAATGACCGACCTTTGCTTGCCTTGTGGAATGAATCCGCTGCCCGGAACTCCGCCACCTCCATCGCTGCTAGACCTGCCACCACCATTGACTCATGATTTCTATTATATTAACCAAGCTGAAATTTTCAGAGAGTATTCAGAACTCATTGCTCTTCCAATCCAGTGGTTGGATTCCAATTAATCGTATGTAGATTGAGAAAAAAAATTGTTGAAGCACTTGAGGTTATTGTGCGATGACTTCTTTGGTGGTGTCAGTTTGAGCAACAAATTTTGAGGCAGCGTTGAAAGTCTTGATCTTGTAGGAAGCTATTTGATCATTGAAAGTTCGACTGAAAGAATGATGAAAGCTAGAGAATTCCGACTTGGCGTGCCAAAAATCTTTAGACAAAAAAAAATAAAAATCCATGTTAATTTCGTAACACAAAATTTTCTACAAATTACATATATTTAAATCAAAGTGGGTCATGTTTTAAAAATGGGTCCTTTGATCCTCTTTTTCGGGTTAATTTATTTTTTTCCCAACTCGGATTTGAAGGCTTTTGGGAATTTGATCTTGAATTCGGATTCTTTGAATAATTTGAACTTTGGTTTAAATTTTTATCGCTTTCGAAGATTCGATCTTTGTGCGGACGAATTTGATCATCGACTTTTGATTTGAATACTTTTTGATGATTTGATGAAGAACGTGATGAATATCTTGAAGTTTTGGAATGAACTTTGGAGGCTTTGTCTTGGTTTTGACGGATTCATCTACAACTTTTGGAGCTTTAATCTTTCTTTTGGCTTAGACATACGATGAAAAATGTTATCTTCATCAATTGGTCAACGAATATTGGATTATTTGTCAAAATCGGTGACTTTTCAATGAAAAATACTTCGAATGACACAAATAACAATGCAAAGAAAGTCTAGAGAGATTTATCATTGATCGAGTCTTCGAATACAGTGTGTTGAATGAATTGGCCAAGACTCCAAATTATAGGAGATGGGGAGCCTCGGTTTCCTTTCCGGATGAGGCCATCCGGCGCGCTATGATTGACCTACGAGAAGGCTTTACAATACTTTCCTTTTTGATAGTTGCTTTGGACTGCTAGATTGAATATTACTTTTCAAATTTTGTATTCTCTGTTCATGTACTTCTGCAGACATTTTATTAATTTATTAGAGTACTATGTAGTTTAATACTCCCTCTGTCCAAGCAAAAAGTATACATTTACTTTTGGCGCGGAGTTTAAAAAATAATAGTATTTTAATTATAGTGGATAGGTAAAAGTAGTGTAATGACATTTTTGCCCATAATTTTTTGGTATAAAAGTAATGATATGATGTAAAGTAGGGGTATTTTTGGAAATATGGGGTATTTAATGAAATAGTTACTTTGTAATTGGACGTCCCAAAATAGAAATATGTATACTTTATAGTTGGACATCATCCAAATTTATGACAATTTTTCTTTTTTGGTTGTCATAAAAAAAAAAATATCCTTGTTCTCTTTTTTAGTAAAAAAAATATTATTTTTCTAATTTTTCTTTACTATAAAAAGAACAAGTTTGTATTTCTACTCACTTTTTGTAAAACTCGTACCCGGTCAAATGAGCATAAGTTTATTTTATGGATATAGTATCTTTTCCTTTATCGATTTTTTGTTGGGGCAACATCTTTTGCTAAGCTAGTCGAACTGTGTAGATGGTTATGCAAATCTAAAATTGTCAGTCCCTCTAAATAATATGTTGGATGCATATTCTCACATCTTTCTTGAATTTGGGATTCTTAAGTGGAGTTGAGAACTTATTATCACTTGGCTTTCTTCCTATCAACCGTTTATGCGATGAGGTGTTTCTCTAATTTCAATTCTTTAGTGGATGGAACCTGCTGTTTTTAAGATGAGATTACAATTAAAAGTAAAAAATAGTGCTAAGGTGTCTATAAATGGTGATTTTGTACATGCCGACTCTCTGTTTTTTCTTCACATCATTTTGCATGGTTAGGCTGTTTTTATGATAACCTTAATGGATGGAACTGCTGCATACGCAGAATAACAATGCTATAATTGAACCTAACAAATTGTCAGTCCGTATTAACTAAGGCTCCAAGCTGAGAAATCATTAACTTCTCGCGAAGATTGCTGCCCATACTGATATTAGTGTAACTACAAAATTATATTCGTAGACACAACATTCTCTAGAAAAATGATGCTTTGTTGTATCCAGGATGACAATTAAAATCTAATAAGCACAAGCTTTGTTCTTTTTCAGATTTTTTTTTTCATTTACTTTTGTTATCGTGGGTTGAAAATATTCAATCGGATAATAACTAAGCGCTTCATTTTGGAGAATTTAGAGTAATTAAATCGTTAATTCGTATCAAAAGGAGTGCTCTGACGTTTGATAGTAAACAAACTGGGGAGAAGGAGAAATATGAAAAAGATAATGCTGGCTCTACCATTTTACAATGATTACAATGCCTAATTATAGAATCTAAACAGTTCTTGTGAATTGACCTGATGCTATACTCTACTGACAATGCAAAGAGATGCAACCATTCGATACAAAAATAATCACAATTAAATTATTTTCTAATTTTCTTTAATTATGACTAAATTTAGAAACAATCCAATTTCCCAAATTCGATCAGATTTATATAATAAATATGGAGGTGGCACCATGGTGATTTGACCAATTATTACACAATATAAAACACATCACTAGGTTAGCGCATTAACTTGAAATAAATTAGCAAATCGTCATAAGGAAGATAACATATATTGAGTTATATAATGTGCTATATTATGTCATGGTTTACTATTTTCTTTATGGACATTTGCTAATTGGATCAAATTACTATTATGGTGAAATCAAAATATATTTTACTAAAATCAATATATATTTTGCTATATATATTATATAATATAGCAAAATAAATTACTATTATATAATATGTTATATTCAAATATGTGTTATATTCTATATCGATATTTGTTATTCTCTTTATAGACATTTGCTAATTGGGTCAAATTAATTTGACCCAATCAACATGGTAACCGGAACAAATAAATATACTCTCTTCATCCACTATAATTATATCATGTTTCTTTTTTTTTTATTGTCTGTTTAAACTTATGCACATCTCATTTATAGTAAACTACTTATTCACCAAAACTTTTATGACCCTTACTTGAACCAATAATAAGCAATTTATCACACTTTTTTATACTTCTTGCATTACATTTTTATCATTTTTTACTAAATTTCCTACAATACTCCTACTTTACTTTTTATCAATCTCATTTTTATATTAAATTTTCATTATTTCTTAGTCTCTATGCCCAAACAATGTGACATAAGTTTCACAGACGAAGGGAGTAATATTTTTAATTTGGAGAAATCAGGGGCCTTCTTTTAATAAAACATGCCTGGACATCAAGATTCTTTCTAAAAATATGTCCAAGCATTTTGAAACACATCTAATACTTCTGAAAATACACCCAGGCCGTTTAAAAACAAGCCTAGTCTTCTGAAAACACACTCAAGCCATCTGATATGCCAGACTCCTTCTGAAAACTAGCCCAAAACTTCTGAAACACATCCGAGATTCCTGCAACCTATCCGGGTGTTAATTTTGTGTTAAGAGTGTGTCATGTTGTAACCAAAAGCATTTATTCAAATAATATATTTTCTCATATTAATTGGTGAGTACCGGGTCAAACTCAGGGCATTCGTGTAAAGAAAATTTGAGGAAAGATAAATGCGGGCTTATGAATCAGAGATTGAAGAAATGCTATTGAATATGATTTTATACTACTGAATTGAAATGTGAGTGCACAATTAAAAGGGTGAA